TTAGTTTACAGGCCAACTTACGTGCACCTCAACTAATTCCACGGAGTCTTAAAGTTTATAGTCGGATACTCACTTTAGTGGCTCTGAGGAAACTCGAACTGGTGACCATTACGAACAAACTCAAAGTCTAACAATTGAACTACCTCTCAAGGTTAAAATAGAAAAATAGGAAATACACGAATGAAAATAAAACTAAATAATGAACAATCGCGCTATTCGTACAGAACCCGTTGACAGAACACCTTGATAGAATGAGGTGGAAATAAAAAGAAAAAAACTAACCGACAATCAGAAGTAAATTTGAAGGCAACCTAGCCCAAATCTCATTCCCATTTTCCACAATCCCTAACCTCAGAAGCCCGTAATAGAGGCGAAAAAGACGATCGAAGGCGATCTACTCCGCCATCTCTTCGTTCTGACTTCATCCATCTCCCCGTTGTCAACATATAAATCTAGACCTCCGACGAAATCCAAATCGTTCGATCAGTGTTTTGTAAAGGTGTTCGTTCGAATCCCTACAATCACAGTTTTCTCTGGCGACTTTGCACCAAAAATCAAGTGAGCTTCATACGTGACTTAGATGGGTAACTAGAAGATGTTGATTTTCAACCAAGTTTGTGTAATTATGAAGCTGTTTATCTACCCAGAATTTGTTTGATGATTATATTTGGGTTCTTCTTAAGAACGCAGAAATTTTTTTAAAATTAGGGTTCTCTAATTCATGTAGATGCTCATCATGTAGATTTCTCTCTTTGCCTCAGCACTCTTACACCATGTGTAGTGAATTTAGCTCCTTCCAAAATTCTGGATTTTACAATGAATTATCAACTTTTTTAACTTGAAATGCAGTTGAATAGATTATCATTGTATTTGTTAATTTCTTTCATATTAGTGTATCATCCCATTGGCTTTCCAAAATCAAGTAATTCGAAACAAAAATTACCAGCATCAACCAAAGAATCACCAAAACTACGAGCATCAACCAAAGAGTCAACAGAACCAAAATTTGGAGTAAAATTTTCTACAAAGCAGATTCTGAACCAAAACAATATTGTCAAGAATGTAATTATAAAACAAGTGATTGGCTGATTGCAATATTAGGAAAATGCCCTTTCTTGAATTGTTGCACTGTGTTTGATATAGAAGTTTTTGAAGCTTATAATGGTAGGACCGAATGATGGAGTTTGTCATGGTTGTAGATGAAGGGGTCGCTTTTTTGCGGATTGTGAAAATAAGGTCCGTTGCCCGTGGTGTAAAGCTACGTATGTCAAGTGTGTTGCAGTGGTGAAGAATACGAACAACAAAGGTAAATTGTTCAACCGTTGTAGCAAAAATGCGATTTTTGGGAGTGGGTCAAAGATGGTGAAACGTCGGCCGAATCAAGTTCTGTTGGTAGCTTCTCTACTAATGATTTGGCAACTGGATTAGAGAATAATGTCGCTTCCATGTTTGAAACGATGTGTCGACTAACTCACGAGAAAGATGTAGAGATAACCATGACAATACGCAAAGGCAATGCAAATGTGGAATGTGATAAGAAAGGAAAGGGCCTGGCATGATGTGTAGTTGTTTGGCTATGAATTTCTGTTGTGACATTTTTATTTTGTGACTTTTTCAGTTAGTTAAATGTTGTTGTGCAATGTTGATGCACTTAGGCCTAGTATGCACAATGTAATCAGTTTCTGCCTCTTTTTGTAATCAGTTTCGGCCTATTATGGACAATGTAATCAAATGTGGCAATGTAAAGTTCTACTCAGTTTCCGCCTCATTTTCTCTCCTTTTTATTATCAACTGTGGCATTATCTTAGCTTTTAGACAATTGACAACAAATTCTGAAATATACAGTTTAACATATATGCCCAGAAATAGGAGGTAAGTCAAAATCCTGTAAGCATTACTTGGATGTTGTCACAAAAATTTAACATACAAGCCCACAAATAGCATATGCATTGTAACTACAAACATCATTTCCATTCAACAATTTACAATTTGATAGGTTCTGTGGTTCCAGATGGTAGGAATCAGTATGATAGCAATTGTAAGTGACATTCACAAACTAAACCTAAATTTCATCTTTTTCTTGCAAAAGGAAGCCAAATTACTGGCATTGGAATGTCATGATTTCCATACTGTTGCAATCGCCGATGGTGAATGTGGCTTCAGTGTCTCACCACAGCAGCTTTCGCTTGCCTCTGTTTAACATTCCATCAATAGACGACCACCCCCACCAAGAACGACCACAACGGCTTAGTATGAGGCGGAGGTTTGGAGGCCGCGTTTTTGTGAATAAGGAAGACACTGGCACTGAAGTGAGCATCACTAATTCCACTCCATCTTCCACATAAACTTTTTTTTTAATGGTATTACGCAAAAGCATCAAGAAGGCAGACATAGAAAATTCCAACTTCAATCTTGCTTGACATCGTCCACTCCTATTGATACACAAGTTGTAGCACAATAACCATTTGGAAAAGTTGGTGAAACTAAAAAGTAGGATGTTCTAAAATTATTTAGACTGATTAATCTAAGATTCTAGCCTACTTGCAATTCAAAGCAACACAAACAAAATAATCACCAATCATTTCGTTATATATATTACAAATGGCCTGGATCCGAGATGTGAGCATTTTCTAATTAAAACGTCCAAAAATAAGTAATTGGAATTTGTTATGCCTGTAATCCATATTTGAAATACAGAAAATTATAATACATTTCTATATTCATTCAACAAGAAGAGAAAATGTAATCACTTTCCTGAAGAAAATCAATGGTTTCCTCCATCTCTGTCCGGTAAGCACAAGTAGAAATACGACATTGCCTGAAAATCTGTACAAGAAAGTAAATATTACCCGAGCAAGACATAAAATGGATGACGCATTTTTTGCGTATAATGTTTAACCACATAATTACCTCGACCATTGAACTGAACATGATTGCCGGTCGAAGGAAAAAAAAACTTTGTTGTGTGAATGCAACACTTTCGTGGTCACCCTACATAAATGAATTTCTTATTGTGATAAATATTTTCTTTTTGAGATAACTTCGTCTTATATATCTACTAACCATTAAGAGTTGCGAATATGTTAATGGTGGTGCATTCATGCAATGTTGTGACTGTTCATGTATTTGAACGCCGTTTGCCTCGACGTCAACATTACTGGGCTGGGCCTTCCTCCTATTTCCTTTGGATGTACTCGAACGCCCCTGCATGGCATCCAAACAAATTACTTGCATTAGGCAAACAACTCGAATGCAATTAGCTTTAATGTTAACTTCAAATATACCTTTCCCTTGTTCGAACTAGATTCTAACAGGCTCTTCTTACGAAGTTTTTTGGTGCGCCCTTTCTTTTCACGCATTTAGGATCACGTAATCCACTAGTGACAGTTTCTAACAACGGTCCACATTGTGATGCTACCGGTGCACCATGCGGAGACAGGACATTACTCACAACATTGGATTTCGATGCCGTTACCAGTTCACATTCATGGTCGATCCATTTTTGTAAGTTTTCTGCTTTGCTTTCATCATCTGCAACTAGGTCGGCTAATGTAGCAAAAGATTGACACAATTTGTTGTACCTCAACTGCCTCGATGTACTAATCAACCCATCGTAGTTAACTACGACCCTCGTATGGGCTCTACTCACATCTCTCCGCCACTTTCGTAATATATACTTGTCCGGTACTTGTTTGACGCCATTACAGATCAATACTGCGATCATATGCCTACATATTATTCCTCGAAACTCAAACAAAATGGCAACTACAAACAATGTCACAATCATCTTTCCAAAAAGAGACGAAGAACACTTTTTTTCTTTTATTGCTCATCGTTTATCTCTTCCTCGCATACCTCGTACGTTGTCCCCGAACTTCCCTTCGAAGAAGATATTAGATCACAATAAAGCTTCCCGATGAATTATTCTTAAACTTCTCGAAACTTTGAAATGGAGTAAATGGCTTGAAATTGCTTTTCCATTTCATACCTTATTGCACATGGTACCATCTGTGAGAAAGACCTGAAATCTGCTTGAATCTCCTTCTCAACTTTACTCCGCAAAGCCCGTTTATATTGGTCGATGAATTGCTTTAATGAGGTCTTCGAATGTACATATCCATCAAAGAACGCATTCATACTCTCACTGCATTGCGTTGTCGACATACCTGCCCAGAAATTGGTTTTGAAAAAGTATGGAACCCATCGACATCTATTCTCATACAGTCCCAACAACTAGGTATTATGATGCAAATCATATGTGTCGATCATTACCCTCCACCCTTCTTCAAAGTCTTGAACAAATTGTGAATCGTAAACCAAATTGTGAATAGTACAGAAAATAGAACCCCTATCGACATGGTATCCAAACTTTTCTGGCAACCTTTTCAATATGTGCCACAAACACCACCTATGCTTTGTATAAGGGAATACGATTTCAATTGCATTTTGCATAGCTCGGTCTTGATAAGTAATTATACCCTGAGGTGCTTTGCTATGCATACACTGTAGTCATGTCCTAAACAACCAAACAAATGTATCCGTGTCTTCATTTGAGACCAGCCCACATCCAAGTAGGGTCGATTGCCCGTGATGATTAATACCAACAAATGGGCAAACGGCATGTCATACATATTGGTGAGGTATGTGGTATCAAATGTTACAACATCACTAAACTCCTTATAAGCCCGTCTTCTTCTATTATCTACCCAAAACACATTCTTTAGCCTCGAATCTTCATCTAAATCCATACTAAAATAAAACCCGGAGCAACTAGCTTGCATCTTTGAAAAGTAAGATTGTATTGCTGTGGCATCTCCTTCTCCAACTCTAAGACGCCGAATTTGTTCAACATAATTTCGACAATCCTTTTCCACACACGTCATATTTTCGTATCCACCTACTTCAGCTACTGTCGAGTTGAAACTTTTGTGTAATGGAATTTCTGTCATATCATCCACTTATAGCCGCCGTTTAACATGTGCGCTCAACTCTCGGTTGCATCAATATAGCCTGGATTTTGATGGACTTGTCTTATGATTATGCTCGAGGTTTACCGTGTTAATTCTCCATATTCCACGACTATCCATAGATGCAGTCAGCCTCGCTTTACAACCTGTTTGAATGGTTGGTTGTGGTTTTAAAGAATCGCTTGTAGTACTACTTCTTTTTCCCTTACGACTACATGTTAATGTAACATATCTTACAACACTGTCATCATCCTTTTTTGAGTTCATTTTTCTGACTGGAAACCCTTCAGCGTATGCATATTTTTTGTAGTAATCAAACAATTCATTTTCATCATTGAATTTCATACCAACCTCGGGTGCTTGTAAAGATGCATCATCTTTTACTACGTTGTCATCACGCAATAAGTTCGCATTCTCGACCGCATTCTCGACCACATTCTCAGACTCGGATTCTACCAAAATAATGTCATCCACATTGTCCAAAATATTTTTTCCTACAAAAGAAATTTAGCAGTTTCAATGTCAATGGTGTAAAGTATTCGGTAACTGATAGAAGATACTCATTCCAAGTTATATGAAGCTGGTATATGTATCTAATGTAATATGTACATAAACCGCTTCATCTTACATCATTTTAATTTTATCCTCTGGGTTTCTATTAATTTTAGCTCGACTTTCATCTATTCGACAAAAGCCATTGCAGGAATGATCTTCACCTGCTTCTTGCGGTCATTCAAATGTGGGCATGTTCAACCTAAACTTCTTTTATTGAAAACAAAATTTCTCTAAGAAGACAGTTTAAAAGAGAGAGTTGATCCAACTTCAAGTTCTACACTTTCTTTCCTCAACAAGGTTCAATGAATTTGTTAAAATCTCGCACTTGTTTTTTTCTCATTGGAAGTATAGAAGGAACTGGAGTATGAAGAGGCCCATTTCGAAGTACAATAAATGATAAATTTCAGCAACTAATGCATCTTTTCAATTACGGTTCAAGAATAAGGTGAACAACACCCAACACATTGCATTTTCAACAAAATAATAACAGACCCGTTACCTTTCTCTGCTATGTTTTTGATGTTGTAAAGAGTAAGGTCATCAACTCATTTTACTTTCAATGCACATGCAGGACGATAGCCAGAGTCTTTTTCTAGAGTCAACCGAGATCTTGTTCACTTCGCCAGTGGCCGAGGCAGCCATCCAAATTGTTGGGGAAATTTTGGGAAAGAAAGGTATTTGGCGCTCAAAACATTCGTGAGGGGGAAAAATAAAGGAAAATAAAGTCTAACTGATTTAAAGCCTTTTATTAAACTGAACGGGTCAGGCCCAATAATTTATTAAACTGTAGGCAACGTGCTGGCAATTTCAAATGTTTTCAAATTTGCAATTTTTAATGCAAAACGTCATGTCCTTTTGTCATTAGGCATGTAATCTACCATGTACAAATAGATTTTCTCAATAATGAATGCATGACAATCTGTAAACATGACGTGACATATCTGAATAATTATGAAATAATTGTTTGATTAAAGTATTAGGTGAGGACACTTTCTGCAATCTTTCCCATCCCTAAGATCTGTTGCTCCCCTGTCTTGATGCTACTATTTTACTATTTAAGGACCTCATTTTCTTTCTGGTCATAAATAAAACGCACAATACAATTTGCTGCATGTGAGGGCTTATTTCAATTTTAAATCTTTGCATTGACTTTTTAATAGACAAATAAATATAAGCCACCGTTTGACCCCCATTATTTCATATTATAATTTTTCTCTCTTTTATCTTTAATCACACAATTTTTCATAAAATAATATATACGTAAATCGAAAACTATTCTTTCTTTTTTAACCACTTATTTTCTGAAAAACACTATTCCAAAAATTATAACCCCTAATAATGGGGGCCAAACGGGGGCTAAATTCATCATTCCACATAAACTTCACATCAAGCTAACTAGCTAAGGATTACGGTGCAATCAGTAAAAAAAAAATAAAAAATAGACCAGATATTATAATGCAATATTGTGACCTAGTGAATAAATTAGAGATCAATGGTTAAACGGAAGAGGAGCATAAGCCAAACATGATCAAGTGCACACAAATTGTATGAATATCAATAACTTCTCAAGTTGAATAGAAGAAAAGTCAAAATCATGCAAATTGAGATTAAAAAACTAAATAATTTTGCCAGCTCTTGAATTTGCATTAAATTAATTAAAAAAAAGGTTTAAAAAACATTGCAATAAATTTCTCGTGCATACACAGGTGCAGATGTTATAAATTTTGGAATGCACACGTGATATCCAGTATCCACGTACGTAAAATACTAATTTTGACTGTCTTTTCCATTAAGAACATATCACGTGGTCGATACATTTTTTCCTCAGCACAACTAGGCCCATTATATTGTGATATTCAATGCGTCAATTATCGAATTGCGAAAACACTTTTCACTACTAGAAAGGGCAGGAAAGAGAGACGAAATTTTAGGGATAGAAAATTCCGTCTCTAAAGTCGTATTTTTTTGGTAGTTTTTGGTGAAAAATATTAATCATATTAACAAATATTCAAATGAATAATGTTATTCACTATTACTAAGATTAAGATTGGAAATGATTGCAATTCGCAGCTAACTAATGATGAATAACATTATTTATTCAAATATAGATTCCCAACATAATGTAATGTTCAACGTGAAGTCGAATTCCATTTCGAAAATGAACTTTGCAAAAATATTTATTTGGTAGAAAAACCAAGAAATCTATTTCCAAGCATATCCTACTCGAAAAAATAAAAAATAAAAAAATTCAGCTATTGATGTAGCCTCTAGTTGCTACTGCTAGTCTTGACGCTAACTACTATTTAAATCCTTTCTATAATACACAATAGAATAAAATTTTTATCAAGATAGATCGAATCAACAACCTATACTTAAACTAACGGCACAAGGGAATCAAGGCTTCAAGAGCACAAAACAGAGAAAATGAACATAGGTCTCCTTGAAGAACAAAGTCTAATATAAAGAAAGGAAAGTAGAGCGAGCACACTTTTACTCTATCTGGACTGGCATGGCCCTCCTGTTTTGCTAATGGAGGCTCTGCCTTTTACTATGCTTGCATCTATTTTTCATATCAAGTCTACATGTGTAGTTTACTGAGATTGACTTTTAAAGACACGAATTCTTTTTTATCTCTCCTATGTAAATCCGAGTCTTAACCGGCTTCTTGAAAGAGAGAAAGAACTTACAGAGAAAGATGAGTAATGAACCATCACTATGGCAAAAATGGTAGTCAATGCCATGCTTGCAGCCACAATTTGTCTGGTCATATTCATTGAACTTTACCATTGGGTGGTCAACAATATACTGATTGTAGTCCCACTAGCTATATTTTGAATTATCATTTTGGATTCATTGTTTTCTAAATTCAGATAATGCAATCTTTGAGGAAATAATTATAAAATCAACCTGTGATCACTTCACGTGTTTCTTGACTAATAAGGTTTCGTTTCGATCTTTGTATGGACAGTTAATTCTTGAAGTCTTCAATTCTGTGGTCAAATCAATCAAGTCGATCTAATTTTTACATCATTCATTTTTTACCTTTAATTACTAGCCCCTATTTGATCCCTATTAAATTACATTCCATTACATTCTATTTTTCTCTCTCCTATTTTCAACCACACAATCTTCCATAAAATAATATTACACGTAAATCGAAAATTTTTCCTTCTTTTTCAACCACTCATTTTTTCAACAAAAGACTATTTCCCCCATTTTCATTACCAAAAATGGGGGCCAAACAGGGCTTAGCCTGAAATAGGGGGAAAACAGGAAAAAAGAAAAAGTGGTACAAGAAAAGAACAAGAAGCATATCCAAATAGTGCCAATTGCCCTTTATGGTAATAAAGAAAGATGATATGATAGAAGCATGTGCACTATGGCAAGAAGCCCCAACCACTAGTTTTGATCTAAAAACAAAGGCCACTGCCATCTTATCGTGATTTGTTTTATGTTATGTCAGCATTATTAGTATGTTTTCTTTTGCTAGTTGGTACCTAAGTATTTGACCAAATAGATCATTGAGAATACCAGATTAGCCTTGTTAATTGTAGCAAGTTTTGGATGATTAGGTTATTTTGAAAGACCAACTCATCTGAGTTAGAGTTTGTTTGATACAGATTTTAAGTTAATCAAAATTAATTTTTTGATCGTTATGTCACTATTTTAGTCGTCATTTTTGAATTTTTCTTTCACAGGTATTATCAACTTTATTTCTAACGGTCAAAAAATTAATTAATCAAATCCATACCAAATAAACACTTAAACAGATGTTATTTTTTTTTACTTTTCTTGATGTTTTCTCTCGCTTGTTCTCTTCACTAAGGTTACGTAATGATCTATCTAATTTCCAGGTCAGCTACAAAGATTCCCATAGCATGTTCATGTGTCTTTGAACATTTGTGCTTCAGCCGTCGAGGCTCCAATTAAGCGTAATATGCCTTGGCCATGAGCTTACCTAAACAACGACATGTGTAGAACCATAACACTCGGTTGGAATTGTTATTGGAAGCCTTGACCAGAAACATAATCAAAGATCTTAGTTTGTCCTCAAATATAGATAAGAACCTTAGTACGAATTTTGGCAGAATCAACCTGAATTTCAATGCACTAAACTCATACGTGCACACAAATAATTATTGGACAAATATCACAAAGCCCAAACCTCAACAAGCCTTAAAAATGTAACACGATTATAACTTTCGCATAATAATGACGAACGTCAACTCACAAAAATAACCAAAAATATCCTCGAAATTGTCTATATTTAAGGCCATTGCACAAAAGAAAAAGGGTTGAAAATTTTGATATCCAAACTTTCACTCTAAAAAAGTCGCAGCGAATTAAAACACATTTTGGGTCAGACCTATTGAAAACTGAAATAATCTCCAATTGAAAAGCATTTTCGATCAAAATAACGTTGAAATTTCCATCTCTCTCTTTCCATACAGAGGATTGGCTCTTTAATCACACCCATATTTCCAAAAAGAGGAAAAGTAGTCGAAATTCAGGCAAAAAAATTTATCATTGAATTTAAAAAAATAAATTCTTTTTTCTTTTAAAAATCAACAATTATCTTCAGATACACAAACTTACAAATCAGACTTTAGAAATAGATTTCTTACCTTCCCTCATCTTCCAAAGTGATTTAGTAATAGTGCATGCAAGCAAAAGTATGAAAATGAAAGGATAGAAAAAAGAGACGATTATCTTCGTTCTAATCAACACTTCGGTCCTTCCCACGAAATTTTCCTTCATGATTTAATTAAAATTTTTTTTTGAACTCGAAAATTTTTTAAAACCATCTATTTTACACCTATTGTCTACTGGCAAATTTGATGATTAGGAAATTACAAGCATTCCATGAAAAAAAGGGATTTCATTTTTTTTTCCTATAATCTTTTATAGTAAAAGTAATGACTTTTAGACATTGACGATAAAACAAGAAAAAATGAACTAGATGTTCTCAATTTACAGAGATGGTCCCTCCCCCAATTCAGGATTGTAACAGATTAAGGGCCCGTTTGGTACTTTTTTTTTCAAAATGCATTTTTCTCTTTCTTCTTTTCAACCACATATTCTTTATTAAAATAATATTACACGTAAATAAAAAAAAATTTCCTTATTTTTCAACCATACATTTCACATCAATTTACTATTCTAAAATGTATTTTTACATAAAAATGGATATCAAACACTCTCTTATATTAATTTTCACAAAAACGTTAGACAGTTAAAAAATCGAACTTTTGTTAAATAGGCAGCACGACGATTGTGTAGATACGATGTCGGGGGATTGTGGCAATGAATAAGAGCAGGTTGTGGTTCTAGGAATCGAGATGAGATAAGACTTAGGTGAAAAATGTTAACAGATTTTAAACTTTTCAAATATCAAATAAAAAACCAAGTGCTAAAAAAGTCGAAACTTTCCTTGACCAAAAAGGTTAAAAAATAGAAGGTATAATCTTTCACTGATTCTCACGAAAAATAACAGCATATATGATTATGCATTTCAATTGCAAATATGCTACAAAGTTATTATAGTATAAAATGCTGACAGTAGGTAAAACTACCAGTGTGTATAGTTTAAAGAAGAATCCAAGGATCCACCAACGGCGGTAAAAATGGAAGCCGCAAAACCC